CATAGTAGATACTTATACCTATCTTAGAATTATTGTCATTGAAAGCTAATCTTGACGTAATCTTGAAACATAATCAATTCACAGTAACCAGCCACTGCAAGCGCGAGAATGACGGGTATTTTCGGCCATGGGCAATGGTCGGAATAACGACTGACAATTTATTAAAATTGACCAATTTGTGTCAGGAAAAACGTCGAATTTGTCAAGCGTGCAGTTGACAGAAAACGATGCTTTTTGCTCCGCCGGTCCCCTGGTGCACATGATGCCCGACGCTTCCGTCAGGGGCAGTAGGTTTCGTATGTCTTGCTGTGGTATCATACTTTTCTCTTGTATATTGTGCAGCGGGATTTGATGATCAGTCAGTTTTAGAAAATTTAAACTCTCAGTGGAATTCAACCACGCGCCAAGAAGTCAAACACAACCTTGTTAACAAGTTATTGACATTTCATATACCTCCGTTATGCACAGATAAACACGTATAAAAGGTGATGTTTGAGCTATTAAGAAAAGCTCGAAATATATATGTCCAATTTGTCTCCGAGCAATTGACACTATTGACTGTGTCAAACATGGCAGTGTAATTATCAACCGGCGGTCGAATTTCTATGCAGATGTCAAAAGACATTCAGTTCTGACTAAAAAAAACATGCCAGCCACTCAATTAAAACCTCACTGAATATAATGAAATTTATGTAAATGGAGACCTTGTATGGTGATTACAATAATGCATGTTATATCATGTCGCAAACTACTTAACAACAGCGGACTAACATACATAACACATAACTTGGTTGATGTGTCATCGTGTCCAAATTGCGTGGTCGATGCTCATGATGTCATTCACTGAATTGTCAGGTCCATACTCGATCTTTTACAGACCGCCACATAGCTGGAATATAATGTCACCCCTAGTTCAAAAGGTTAATATTATAAGATAACACTTATTTTTTAAAGATACCTCATGCTGCCTAAACGTATATGTATGCCAATGTTAAAGATTAGAGCTTGCAACCACTGTCAGCCGATATCATTGAAAACCGACCTATGCAAATTAAAGTAATACCATTATTTCCATAATCATAACTAACCTCTGCTTATTCACTATATGGAGGGCATTTCAAAAGTTGACGCATCAGAGACAAAAAAAATGTCCGATGCAATTCCCTTTATTGTATTGTACCATGAGTTCCTGTGTCTTTTCAGTAGAACTATTGACTTGACTTTGCATGTGCTTGTGACGGTGCTACCGGTTAGGCGCGATACGCTCACTTTTTCATGAACACCCGTTGGAATCACTATTTGACAGTGATTTATAAAGGCATGTTGATGATATAGTCAAAATCGTACGGGTATGGTGCTGACAAACCTAGAAACATAATCGGGACGAACGGGAATTCGAACCCATCATAGTTGTTTCTGGCATACCCAAGAGAAGCAACTTCTGGACAACGAACTGCGGCGCCTTAGACGACTGGGGCACCCGTGCCCCTGATGTGAGGGTCGGTGACATAGCCTAGTGGTCACGCCGAAGACCCTGGTTCAATTCCCCACATGGGCACAATGTGTGAAGCCCACTACATATGATATTAACTACTATATTAACAGCCCATTACTGTAGTATGTGTGGCATACGTGATTATGTTCCTGTTTTCACTTCCTTAATGCTAAAGTGTATGGAACCTCACTCTGCTTGGTAGTTCATGTCGATGTTCTTTGCTTGTTGCTTATATATTTGTCAAATTTAAATAGTATTGGGATTTCTTGCTAGATTCTTCTTAACAAGGGAGACCAGCCGCTTGTGACACAGTATACATTCACAAGGATCATTAGATTGATCGGATGGATTGATACATGATACATATAACTCCAAGTATATGTAAATTACATACAACATAAGCAAAGTAACGAACGCTGTAACATGTAACAGATTATTGAAATATTCAAGAAATTGAGCATACATGAACGTGGCGGGTGGGTTCCACACGAGTGACCAACGCGGTGCACGCGTTGCCCAGTCGTGCAAGGGGAATGAACTTATGGGCAGTAGTGTATTTAGTTTGTCGATTATATCATTTATGGAGACAAACATCGATGCTGAGTTTCAGCAAAACAGATTCAGAGAAACAAAGAAGGAAAACCTTTTTTCTTGTTATTGAATCTAAATGCCTCTCATGAAAATTAGAATATTGTTGAAGGCATCTATATGGGTTTCCGCGATATTTTACATCTTGACTTTTATTTCACTTTTGAAATTTCCTCACTGTAAACATCATCTTCTTAGATAACCACAATACAAATGAAGCTGCAATTCCACGCTTGATCTGATCTGGTTTTGATGCTTTGTTTGTGACGGAAGTTGAGTTAAAATTGTATGTCACGACAGCATAATTATTCCGAAAGTCCGAAACTTTCACAAGTATGAAAGACAGAAGGCTAGTTGTTAACCATTGGAACATGTCTGATATATTACACACCAATATTTCTGTCAAGTGAGGTAAAATTGTAACTGTTGTCTGATGCGAGGTGCAGCAGCCTGCTGCAGTAGCACTACGAGTATCGTTTCGTGACACAGGCGCTAGGTCGTTGTGGTTATTGTCAGGTTCGACAACTGGAACAATTTCCACCTCTCATTATTGTTGATAAATTCCTTTGTTGAGTAATGTTGACATAGTCATTATATTTGTGGAGGCTTTTACATGCATGAAGGCTTCTTTGATCGATGTTGAACTGCATTAATCTGTAATACTTAATTACAAAGCATCCAGTGCGAATTAATCGATTCTTTCTATTGCCTCCTTAAAAGATTCCAGCCCAGAAGGTGAACTCAACCCTTTGTTCTGCATCACCAACATCTCTACTTTTCTTAACAAGTTAGGACTCGGATCAGAATACACGTATGTCTTCAGGGCCTTAGTGATGACTGAAAGAGACCACAATTGACCGGGTTGTTAGACTCTGATTCAGCCAATGGTGTGTCATCGTGTGCCGATGTCGTAAATCGTTTTTGTACCGCTAGTTTTTGTGGTCGAAATGTTGATTATTTACAGGCCGCCGTAATGTCATTGTAACATTGATGACTGCGTGTTATGTTAAAAAACACAAAACCACTCACTCTAATTTTCTAAAACGGCCAAACAGACTGGGTGTTTCCTTTCTTCGATTGTTGACACTATGAAGGGACTCAGTCATGTATCTTCTTCGGAATTTAAATGGGTTTTGCACAGAATGAAAACCATAAAACAAGAGACACTGTCTGCCGTGAATATTTCTGTTTGATCCCAATTGTTGTCAAACAACTCATACCTGTGCTCCTAGATTCTTAAAATCAAGGAATAAGCACCTCTGATCCAATGACATCACTAGCAGATTAAGGAAAACACAAGAAAGAAGGTCCTTAGCAACCAATGCGCATCCAGCGGAAACCGGTCGTTATTGTCAGTTGTCGGGATAATGCCCTTGCATGTCGTAAGAGGCGACTAACGGGATCGGGTGGTGAGGCTCGCTGACTTGGTTGATGTATGTCGTCGTATCCCATTTGCGAAAATAGATGCTCATGATGTCAATCACAGGATTGTCTGGTCACGATTCGATTATTTACACATAGGAATATTCTGCTTTGTGCGGCGCCAACCAAGAAACAAACAAAACGAAACATGCCCGTGTAGCACACCCTTAAAGCAGAACGTTCAGAGCTTCTCAGTACCTTAATAAAACAGTTATATCAACTTCCAATGCCATCATCACACATGCCCTACGTAGTTCCATGACTACATTAATAACAAAATGAGAACCACTGGTATGTATATTTCAACACTGTATTTTGGAACTTGTAGACTGGCCACAGCATTCAAACCAGATTGTGGTTATCGTACGCGTTACAGTCAAGGGTTGTGTTACCTCGGCATTTCAACTAGCGTCAGGCCAAGAGGTTGACAGTGAAGCTGGAGAGAAGATCTATAGCATCTTCGTAGGATGAGTGGATCACACTTATTGCCAGGTAGTTTTTCTCGTCTGTGACTTGTAAAGGTGTTCACACAAGCACGCACACAAGCACGCACGCACGCACATTCATATGGATGATTTCATAGTAGTAACCAGCTTGGTTGGAGCTTCTGACCTCTACTTCACTTTCCACTGCGTATACAGGTCATAACTTCTGAAGACTACAGTCTAATCCAACATGAAAGGACTCTTTCGATTTATCTCCCTATATTTTTATCCTATAAAGTTTAACTGTTTCTTTCAATCTGACTGGCTGAAGGGGTAGTTACGTTAACTGATATTTTGAGTTCACACAACTGTGAACGGACAGAAAAGTTCACACAATGTGAACACTCTTTTCGTGAAAACGACCGTGTTAACTTTTGCCGGAACTACTTTCCGGGGTTTCCCCGAATTCTCGGTTGGTGTACAATCAACTCGTTTATTTTTTTTTAAACCCTGCATTCATCAGCAATATAACTTTGTAACATTTCATCTGACTAAAAACAGTGTTCTGGTTCTGGTGTTAAATGTCGTCTCACTGCTCGATGAAACAAAATGGATGGTCCTTACAGTGATTTGGATATGGAATGGCTATCTATCAATACTAATAAAGCAAATAAAGAAAATGAATTCCGTAAAATTACTATGGTCAACAAAATCGAATTTTTGGACGATATTGAATTTGTTGCCTTTTTTTCGGAAATGACAGGAATCGAGCACCAAGACAATATGGGAATGAAAACGATGTGGCTGTCAACACAGTTCCAAGCGACTGCCCCTGATCAATCCGAAACTAAAACCCGGTTCACTCTATTGTATCGGGGAAAAAATCCAAGATTTTTAGAAACCGTAATATATAAAAAGGTAGGCCTAAGGAAAGAAACTTATATTATTAAAAAAAACACACACACACACTTGCTACCTGTTTTACCGACTGGTCACTGGAGACGAGAAAATATATGTAGACGGAATTACTATTCCGGTTTCTGGGTTGGCCGACCTTCTCCGTGCATTCTATGGCAGAGAAGCGGCGGCACTTGAGGAATGACGGGGCACAGAAATGGAGCTGGCATCAGGTCATACAGTGGGTCAGTCTCAGGTAACAAGAAACACCAGCTGAGCAAAGTATTACAGCACAAGCGACAAATCAAAAACTCCAAATATAGCAAACCCTGACGATGACAATAATCACAAAACACCCAAGTTTCAAAGCACCCCGTTCAATCCCCACCAGTCAATTCCATATCCTCCAAATTGGTTTGCGATTATCCAAACACAAGCAACTCATTCATAAATCAGTGATATTCCCAATTTGCTTGTGCCATGGGTGTTTTCAATAACTGTTCCATCCGCGCTTGAAGGTTGACCTCGCCACGGTCCATCGAGGTCATGTTTATATTTGTGCTCACTTTCCTGTTACCTATTTTTAAGATTTGATATATCCCAAATATTTCGTCAATTTGTTCAGGGAAAGAAATTATGTTGATGTTTACATATTTTCAGATTATGTTGTAAATATTCAAAGAACTATTTTTTGTATGTAACTGAGTATGAAAGGGGAAATGTATGTGACAGCAAATCCCGACAAAATAACGTTGTTGCAATGTTCCTCAGCGAAATCAAAGGACTTTAAAACTTAAGCAAACATTGTTACGATATTGTTCAGCGAGACCAGTAATCTACAAAGTTTAGAAGAATTCAACGTCAGCTTCGATGGGTTCATTGAAGTGTGAACCATTTAAAAGCGCTGGTTAAGCTGTGTCAACCTCACAGCTTGCGAATGGTTCACACTTCAATGAACCCATCCAAACTGACGTTCAATTCTTGAGTATTCTAAATATTATGCATCATCATAATTATACTGATGCCTAGATGCGGCTATATTTCTTAACCAAGGCATGTTAACGTTTTAGACACCAGGCACATTTATGTGTGCTTGTCGAGTTGGAATCATGGAGTGGGTTCAAAGTCTTGGTGGCCTTTACGTTCATCACTGGTCTCGTTTCCAACTCGATAAGTAAATATATGGTTGAGCGATCTGATATACAAGTACTCGTATTTAAAGGAAAGTGTCGTAGAAATTTAATGATGTGTGGCATTTGTTGTTTGATCACGACGCAATGCACTTTGCTGGTGCATATAAAGTGAAATGCATATTTGGTTAGGGAATATATTGGGACATCGGCACAAAGTTATATAAAATAAGGTTTAAGGCATACAAATAGTACAATGATTGCTAGTTCACCATCACCAAAAAGAGTCGTGGTAACGTATGAATTGGTGGTTATGTGGAAACATGTCTGCATTACACACATTACACACAAAGTCCTGTGTAATCTTGTAGTTCCGGCAATGGTGCACCTTACAACTATATGTATTTTCGCATTTTGCAAGAAATTGGTAAGCAGTAATAACATTGTGTATCTTCGTGGTCATGGTGAGTTCAGAGTTCCAATCCTGGCGTCAGTCACCAAGCCCTATCACGGCAGGATTGCTTTTCTCGCAAAATGTATTCCGCCATGACAAAACTTGGACATTGCATTAAACAACGTCAACATGCACCTATGGACAAGTACGTGTAGGTTTACCCAACATATCGTGACATAACTCGATCATTTCATATGTTAGTTGCTTTTGGGCTGCTTTGTAGACGGACCCATGGTAACAAATCAACAGTTGATGCAGTCGATTTTGCATCACTACCTCAACAGTCAGCAAACATAATCCAGCGTCGAGCGACCAGTTGAGACAGAAGCAATGATTATGAAGCTAATTTACCTTTGTTTAGTGAGCGATGTTACTGCAATGCTGATGACTGGATCTGGAGTTAAATGGACGAAATTTGACAACGTGATCATGTCATCACACATCATGTCTGAAGTTTCAAATATTCACAGGGGTATATTGTGTGTATTTCTGTGTCTTCAGAACAAAGCTTGTGTGTCTGTGTTCTATAGAGGGCAACACCGGCGATGTCAGTTTCATGACGTGCTGTTCATGACGCCTGAGGACGGAGAAGAAGAAATAGGTACCAAATACTACAGCTTTACAGCAGGTGAGGGATGACATCATTTTTGACAGGAGGCTAAGAAGGTGTCTCAGAGAGGTTTTCTTTTATTACTTCACTGGAACATGGTTAATATTTTCCGTTGCTAAGAGAGAAGATCACAAGTAAAATAGGCTTCTACAGTAAGTAAAGATCTAAATCGAGAATAATAATTACATTTAGATGAAACGTCGAGTGAGTGATGCCAAATTAAAAAGAAACAGTCAGAAAATGAAAGATGCCGTCATTAAGTCTCTGTCTGAACATTGCCATTAACGATGAAAAGCAACTAATGTCCTGAGACAGCAATATAAATCCAAAACCATATCGAAAAACAATATTTCTTATACGAGATACCCAAGTTGTTTTAGCATTATCATCAAGAGTTTTAATCATTTTATCTGCTTGTCGGGAAAATCTATGCTGTGGTAACTGGAGCAGCCTGCTCCAGTACTTAACTGCTCTGGATATACAATAATATTGCATGGAGACTCTGCCACACTCTCCCAGGACCATATTGGAATAAGTATACTTGTTTACTCTCAGCAATGATCTACAGGAACTCGTGTGCACACTATCGATGATGTTACAGTAAGTGGTTCCCCATTTCTCATATCCATAACACGGACTATGTGTGATCAAGGCATCAAATATGTTTATAAAATCATTATGACTAAGATATCCAAAATGTTTCTTATAGTTGTTAATTGGGAATACTGCTTTCCTCGCTTGTGCTGAACACGTTTGAGCCTTTGTCCATGACAATTGTGGTGAAAAAACAATACCAAAATAATTATCTGTACATGTTGACAACTTTTTTTTCTTCTCCATTTAGAAGCTATTTTTCATTTCTGTGGAGGGGACCTCAATGTATAAATACCATAATTTTAGTTTTGTTGAGACTTACTTTTGTTCTGCTTTCTCCACAAAAAAACGTTCCAAAACATAATTTTTTCTTTTGAAGCTGTAAAACAGTGTCAGATACAGATAAGACATCATCGGCAAATAATAATGAAAACACATCAGACATGTGTCTCCCACCTTCCTCCTCCAACATTACAGCAAGCTGGTTTATGAAGTTTTGTGGACTCGGGATACAACCTTGACGGGTGCCAATGCTACATGTCAAGTATGGTGATAAGCCAGAATCAGTTCTCACACAAGCAAACTAGTACTGTGATGAATACATGGTCGCAACATTTACCTCTAACACCAAGCTTTCAGAGATTTTAAAACAATACTTCATGATTTATGTCTTCAAAAGCCTTGGAGAAGTCATAAAAGAGACATAAAACGTTCCATTTTTATTTGATAAATATTCGTTCATCATTGTTTGCAATGTAAATATATGTTCTGTGGAGGAATATTTTTGTCTAATCCCGCTTGTGATTCTCTCATATATATTGTTATTATCACACCAATGTCACAGTTTATTATTTATGGCTTATCATGCACTTCAATGTGTTTCCTCTGAAATTGTTTGGGTCAAGGTTACTACCAATGTTTTTTTTATAGGGGAATAATACTTCTTCCCCACCGTTCAGGGAATATGCCAACGTTATACAGTTTATGAAACAACTTGGTTAATACAGGGGCTATACAAATCCTTGTTGATTTAACAAAATCACTTGTAATCCATCTGGGCCGGATGATTTGCCACTTTTTAATATTCTCAAATGGAAAACACTTTTTCCTGTGTGAAAGGTTTGTTTAATTCATCCATATAGTAATTATTGTCTGCATCAATAACTGTATCACCCCTTATCTCATGAGAGTAATCATATATACAATCACGATTCAAAAGGTTTTCAAATGGGTCATACAATTTGTCCACTGAGCCCTGGAGTTTCACTCTTTGTGTTTGAAAATATTCATATGTTTTCAAACGTCTTTTCAAAGCATAAATATGTGCTAATAATCTTTCCATAAACCCATATTTTCTTTGCTTAATGTCTTCCCAGTCATGGTCCGACCACGGTGGTTGTACTGAGGTTGACGATAACTGGCTATTTTTACGTACTCTCTTGAACTGATCAGCTGCATTATGATAAAGTTTGATAATAGTATCTAAACTTTGTTCAACATATGCCTCAATTTGCTTGTTGATAGCATAACAACAAGATGAGAACTTTTCTTGAAAGTTAATCATGAATAAATTGCTTACATCTGGAGACCAGTTGTGGTAAATCCATGATTTTTAATCATTTGAGATTAGTTGTTTGTGCTGGAACTTGAGGTTGCAGTTGAGTATGGCCAGATGCCACAGACATATCTTTCTTGAACTCAGTAGTACAGTAGAGAGAGAAATGGTTAGACTCATCCCTTCCATGAACACCAAAAGCACTGAAGTGCGGCGCTTGCCAGAAAATAGTCCACTATGCTGGTACCAGTATGCGTAAAGCAAGTATAGTTCCCATCTATATCATCAAACAGTCTTCCATTGAGAGCATGTAATCCATATATACAACATTATCTGATAGTTTTACACCATATTTGTTGTATGTTATGGTATCCTTTGTATTTCTTGGCATACTAAAAGGATCAGTTGGATAATCATCACTGTTATCTTGTATATAATGCCAATCATCACATGGAATATAATCTAAGAAAGATCAGATCATGAAAGTGACAGTTGGAATGTGATTTATAATCATGCATCCTCGAAAACTTTAACACAGGGTTTTTCGAACGATAGTTACGGGTTAAACGACTGAATCCATACAATCTAGACCATCTATTAGCAATTCCAGAATGTTCTTTTGTTTAGGTTTCAAATTTTTAATCGAGAATTTGTCAAAAAGGTTTTGAAGCGTTGTCGCCAATTTGTAAATAGTGCCTTAAAGCACGAGAAAACTGCCTTCTGATTGGTCATTCCATTGGTCTGTCAAAGTTCGCGCAAGGTCGGTCTGACGTGACCCGTAATAGGATGTCGTCGGATCTTTGTTTAGCGGTAGCGAGAACTAAGATCTGATTTTAATGAGATTGTCGGGTGTCTCGCAAATGTTCTCACCGAGTCAAATAATGTCATATTTTGAACAAACACTTCCCGCACTCGTTGTGTAAGGTACTCTGATACCCTGTGTGGTGGGCTTTCCTGGCCTTTGAACTTCCTTATGCTGCATAAAGAATGTTGTTCTTGTCACTTGTGAGAACAAACTTTACAAGAATTGTGGGGTTCTGTTTCCAATTGCGTAGTCAGTGGGCCCTGGTGATCAAAATGTCTTCTTCGGGAATGTTAAGTGTGTTTCTGATGAATTCTGACTTTATGTTCTAATTTATCCCGTGTTTACCCCTTTTCTTCCTCAATACCATTGAATAGAAGGTTGTTTTGTCTTGAGCGGGATTCATAATGATCAAGACAATCCCGCATTGCGCTTAGTTGTTCGTCCATGGTCTTATTTTCAGGCGGAATCGGGTGGTTTCTTCTCTCTGCTCTCTGATCTGTGTCGCCATTTTGTCGGATTTTCTATCCAAAGTGGAGACCCGATCGTTCACTGTTTATATATCCCCTTTCAAGTCCAATATTGCAAGCATTATGTCGTCATTTGAATATTTTGTACTTGTGATACCCACAGTACCTGTATCCTCTTGTGATAGTGTTGATTGCCTGCTCGTCTTCGGCCTGGGATTTGATTCAACGACACCACACCCAATCAGGAGTGTAAACAACATCAAAACTAGTCACAGGGTCGTCGAAACATGTATTTTTATCCTGATCGATATTCCATGCATTGTCTTTTTGGACATTTTCGGATGTTAAAAAGCTCCTATTTTCGCCCTATATTGTTCTTAACATATACCCATCTCGGGAGCTGTGCAAACACGTCTGTACACCTACATTACCCAGCATGCCATGACATATAAAGTTCTGAAATGAAATAATGCATCATTAAATATTCATGAAGACACCTCCTCGTCTTTAAGGTCATGATTCACAATTTGCACGTGTTTTCATGTTTGTTTGGAGTATGATACGCATGTTTGTTTAATGTGAACAGCACACAATGCTTGTTTAGCCATCAAGAGCTCAGAAAAAACACTTTTGTTCAACCGTTAATTAATTAAAAGCGACAAAGCCCTTTCCATATTCATAACAATTCTCTGCCAAAAGCAAAGTCGACTGCTCCACCTTGACAACACCACGAGCATGTGGCTAAGAATCACCATAAGAAGCGATGATGCCGGATGTAGCACCCGTCAGTAACACTTATTAAAGCAAGTCAATTGTTCATCTAAAGAAATACGGGAACAAAGGGTATATATAAGTCAAAATACGAAACTGCATCGGGCTAAACTAATTTCAGCCACGTATCATCGCGCATTTGGAAAGTGGATATAATGCTTGCACACTGCAACCGCTTGCTTGAAATCAAAGTCTACGTACCCTGGGTATGATGCAAACAGGAATGGTGCTAAACGAAGTTGACAGACATTTTAATGTTCATCAAGACACAATATTATTTCTTTAGAGACGTTATCTACAACGACCCTTCCAGCCATTCAATACGCTGTTCAATGTGTGAAGTATAACCTTATTGGGCATTCTGTGTAAAATCACATAAAATATAATCGAAAATAATATACCATAACAGTTGGCCATCGTGAGATTTCATAAATATAAGTCAAAAAGTTTGTTATATATGGGTTTAGGAAATTATCTTAATCTTATAGTAATATCACAGTGACTTAAAGCTGAATCATTGTGATCTATCTTACAATATGGCATACCATGGGTATTTGGTTTGTTACGCCAATACCGCACAGCAATGTCTATGTGTCATTTTGAAAATTATCAACGATCTTTTTTATCAACAATTTTATGTCATTTATTGACAGACAAGTGGTTTTGTAATACAAATCTCAGATTTCATAGCTATCTTTATGTGTTTAGGAAGTGCAAGTATAAAATTACAGATTTGTGTTTCTCATGTCTTTTAAAAATGGTTTTGGGGATGGGGTGATAAACAATTTAAACACGTGTGTTACGCTAGTCAATTTACAATGACTGTTTTAACTCTTTCAACACCGTAGGCTGGTATACCGGCCAAGAAGCAACGAGTCCCCAGACACAACATCTGAAATACGTATTCCAATTCAATTTATCATTTTTCCTCGATGCATTAAAAAAATATTCACTATTTCCCGCAATGTTATTGAAAATATAACTCTCGGACACACACTTTGACAACATGTCAAAGAGCAAAATAAAGACGTTTCAAGCATATCTTTACATATATTATACAAAGTAATACATAAAACCAACAAACATATATCTAAAAGTTTCCAAACTTACATCTAAGTTATTATTTCAATCTTTTCGGGCGATCGCGTGTAATGGAGGTCAACTTGCGTCGCATTGAATTCTCGGCTCAGACACGATGTTTAATGCAAACATATATGCATGAAAAATCTTTGTCACATCTCGTAACCTGGCACGATACAGTCAAGAAGTGTTTAAATGCTGATATGTTGATATCGATAAAACTGTTCAGTTAGATTGTTTGGATTGATTTATACCAAATCTAAGCATGTGTAAAGAAGAGACCACTTAAATTAAAGTAGCAAAACATTTTACAGCTTAGTGGTAACCACGAACTCTTTGTTTCTCATGCATTTGTGAATTAAAAGTAGTATTGGACTATACTTCCAATTTCTTCATTATGAGGATAAATGGTCTATGTATATTTACAACGATAAAATGGTTACATTCCTTTTAAAAGGTTTATGAAATGCTGATAATTTTGAATAGATAACTGTTTAGTTGGATTGGTCGTATCGATTTATACAGACTCTCTAAGTGTGTGTAAAGGACAGACTACTTAAGCAAAGTAACAAAAACTGTAACATAGAGCACACGCTCTACGAAGGAGGCCTGTAAGCAATGTTGCGTGATCAATGGACTTAAAACTCCAGTGACCCGATTATGCACTCGACTGAATTTGAACAAGAGAGCGGTGTAAAAATATAAATTATCGAAAAAGACGAAACGTTTGTGTTGAACCTCACTACTAACTGCACTAATTCCAGGGCAAGGTATGATAAGGTCTCTTCTTGGCCTATCGATTACGCATAATTTATTACATGAGCAAAACGTTACGAAATCATTATGAAAAACATCAGACGTGTTTTTATGTGTTTTGTGTCGATGCAGACGGCATTATTACATCTACATGTATATGACGGATATCTGTAATTATTTCGACAGACGATGCAGTGATAGATGTAATGAGCAATACTCTTTTATTACGGACTATTGCTCAGAATAAGATTTGTTAATGACCTGAGTTGAGTCGTTGTACTTAAAATTTAGCCAGAATCGTGTTTCACGTACACGATACACTCCTTCAATAACAACGATACGGTTTGCACAGTTCATGCACGGAGCAGGACTCATTTCATTGTTTTTCATTTATTTATACTTGGCCCAATTGCATTTCCTGACTGCAAATAGACACACACCACTATTACCTGCATAGCGGTGCATGAATTCATGGGGGAACGTGGTGGATACAAACCCATGTAGTTTTGAAGATGTATAAGGCATCGTCGTACCTGAATTTTACAGGACATGTGTTGATTCCATCCGCATGAACCTCAAAGTTGATCGGTTACAGACACGACTCGTGAAGTCAGCTGCAATTCACAATGATGACTGGAATCCTTTCATTGTGGGTTCGAATCCAATATTTGCCCTGATTATGATTCTAATTTTGTCAGTCTCACACAAATGCTCTTGGACCTAACCAATGTCGCCAACGTTTATTGGTTCGATTTATTACTTTTGTGATATTCTTAAATATATTTGATTTTAATCATTTCAGTTTGTTATCGATCCCATTAAGATGACACTCCCTAGCTAAAATATCGTCCAAAGCATCATCCAAATCCTAAACTCATTCACAAAGACCATCGGGGAAGGTGCAAACCAGATATATTTTTTTCTGATGAAAGCAATGAAATACACATTTATGAATTCTACTGAATGAAAGTACGTCTGCCAACAAACTCCCTTAGAAACATCCTAAATTATGAAATTTGGAAAATTCAACATCTGTGTAGACATTCATGACAATCTCTAGAATACTCAGAAGCGATCATCCTTGACACGTTCAAACTAAACACCTCTGCCATGTTCAACTACACACCTCGGACATGTTCCAAATAAACACCTCGGTCACTTTCCAACTAAACACCTCGGCCATGTTCCAACTAAACACCTCGGTCACTTTCCAAATGAACACCTCGGCCATGTTCAACTAAACAAATACGTCTTGTTCCAACTAAACACCTCGGCCATGTTCAACTAAATAAATTGGAAACTCGTAATTATCGATCATCTGTCCATCGTGAATGAATGCTGTAATGGATTAACAATGTTAATTCACCCATGACAGAAAATCCGTAATTCATTGTGGTTCGTTGGTTTTTCTTTAGTTCTTAAACAAATCAGATTTTATAGCCAAAAGTCTTCTAAGAACTTTGGGACGACATAACGAAAGATAACAATGTGTCGATATATCTGTTCTATGGTTCATTTATATTCATAGCAATGTATGACTGTCCTTGTCTATTTCAGATGCATGTCCATCTGGCTACGTCCACAATCGCCTCCTCAACTTCTGCTACCAGGTTCATACTGACCGTACCCCCCATAAGAAGGCGCTTGCTGACTGTGCGTCCAGAGGAGAACACTTTGTTGTAATTGACAGTGCGGACAAGCAGAACCACGTCGTCAGGCAGGTCAACTCGTCATCAGGTTCGTATTCCTGCCTTCATATCCACCCATCAATCACATTCAACATCATATTCCTGCTGTCATAAGTACTCTAGGTGGCTGAATTACCCTCCACTGACGTCGCAATATCACAAAACCTTATTATCATGGGCATCACATTTGTTCTATATTACATATAACGTCTCCTCGCATTTTATATGTGTAGGGTTTAACACGTAAGAGTTGTTTTTTTACAAAATTTAAAATCCGAAGCTGAGGGATAAAACCGAGGGAGGGTTTTAAATCTCATAATTAAGAACCCGAGGGAAAGTGTTTTGTCTAACTTATGAACCCACAAAGGGGACCTAAGACAACATTTACAACGTTTTTATGTTCAAAACAAATTTTCCATAAACTTTAGGAGACGGGCGACAGATATCTGTTGCTGACGTATGGGTACTTGAAAAAGACATTCTTAAAAGCATTGTGATTTATCAGCGTGCCTGTTGTCTAATGGTACCTACCTGGGCTACAGATACGAAGGTTGCATGTTCGAACCTCGGGGAATATAAAGAATACATTTGCCTTTCATTTGATATTTTATTTCAAATGTAAACGGAAGTTGAATTTATTAAACCCCTGGTATATTATGTAAAATCCAAGGGATATCACAACATTTCCGTTTTTGAGATTTTAACCAGACTGGAGAACAATAGAATGACGCCCCTTGATGTTTATCAGGAATGAACACGTCACAGTGTTTGCCGTATAAAGAATAATTTCTTTGTAACCTGAAAAGTACAATATCAAAGCAAAGGATTCATGGCAGGAGTATTGCTATTCGGTATTTTGCAACAAACAAATACTTTTTGTATACAAATGGTGTGAGTATTACCTATAAAACAAGACATGTTTAACCTTTACGCGAACCCCTGGTGTCATCACTGAGTTTTGTGCAAAGTAATTTGCCTTTTACGTCCACTCAAATCTGTTTTAGCAGATTATCTGTCGAAACAGATTATATTCAAGACAGAAAGTGTCTTAGTAAGTGACAGTCATCGTTTTCTCTCATCGCAATGTACTTTATTCTCGTAATGTGAAAGTTCTGGTACACTCACACTAGTTTTAGAAACTGAAATTCAGCTGCGAGTCAGAATGCGATCGATTCAGTGAAAATATGTTGTTTTAGGCCACACTCGAACAATAGCATAGAGGGGAGGGGTTGCGTGGGAGGACACCAAGAATGGGTTTTTTAACCTATATTGAGAATCCATGCTGCATTTCGGTAGACAGCAAACACATTGGCACCCAACCATCCTCACTTAACTGTAACATTGTTGTTGATAACATGCCATTCAAGTCATATTATCTATGATTTTACCAGCTACACTTAAATTCATTGATCAATAATAATTGCTTCTCACTTCCCAATGGACAAAAATGATATTTCAAGTGCCTTGTTAAAATTTCAGAAAACAGAAAAATTAACTTCTTCATTGATGGTTCAGATCTGGCAGAAGAAGGGAAATGGGTATACCATGACGGCCGACCTATGACGTACTTTGCCTGGCGCCCAGGCTACCCGCTTGACATATATCCTGAGCAGGATTTCATCATCATCCACCAATCAAGCAACACTGGCAGTGCATTTATGTGGCAAGACAGGAAGAAGAATAACGCATACCGCTACATCTGTCAAAAAGACCTTTGAATCCAGGAACATAAATGGGAGCCAGTTACGTACACGTGACTATCACGTAACAAAGAATCACCAAACTGGAGCTGTGAACCTTGCAAGAATGTTCAATAGGATTCTATTCACTCTTTTTAACAAAGTTTTCGAATAACTTATGTTCCTGGTTCATATATTTGTCTTGCTAATAGGTTAGTCGAATTTTAAAAGGCGTTAAATGGGTGTTCATTGTTAAAATTTGTCTTGCTAATAGGTTAGTCGAATTTTAAAAGGCGTTAAATGGTTGTTCATTGTTAAAATTGAAGTGAACTTGCATTGACGCCTAGAGCGCTGCTCCAGGTGTTGGTGGTTGGTTGGTTTGTTGTTTAACGCTGCACTCAGTATTCGAGCTATATGACGGCAGTCTGAAAATAATTGAGTCTGGACCATACAATCCAGTGATTATAATCATGAGCATCGATCCACGCAACGGGGATCGCTAATATGCATTTCCCAAGCCAGCGAGCCTGACCACCCGATCCCGTTAGTCGCCTTTTACGACAAGCATGGTCACCTTTTACGGCAGGCATGGGTTGCTGAAGACATATTCTACCACAGAACTTCGAGGTGTATATATCGGAATAGGAACAAGAAATATATATATTTAAATAAGTGGAGTAAGAGAGAACACAGTTTTAATAGGCTAGCGCTTTCAACTTTCGGACTTTACTGTGTTTTTTTCTTTTCTTTGATAAAATCGTCCTCGTCCTCGTCTTGGTATGTCCACCGAATTATCAGTTAACTTTGATAATTCGGAAGATCATAATGAAGTATTTTCTCAAAATACTGCCCTTGGGCAAGCTTGTAATATCAGCTCCTGAAGCATTTTCCCAAATCATGTCTCGAAGCTCTGTTAGATACATTTGCGCCACTTGTTTATGTCTATTTTCTCTTCTTTTTTTATCGCATTTGAATCACATTTCGTTTTGAATGGATTCGCGTAAATAGCATTTCGTTTACACTGTAATCCTTGTTTTGTATTTGGTTCCTAATCTGAATAAACTCGTGTGAGTTTGGACAGTCGGGTTTGTGATTTATTGGCGTGGTGGCAGCAATCAATCCACCCAATACGCCTTCGACACAAAGAAGCATTGAAAACCTAAATACCTCCAAGTAAGAACAAGAGTCATCAGAAAGATGACATATCCCCGGCAGCTGTCTGTAAAGTAACCACAAGTAAATGTGCAGTTTTGTATGTAATGAGTCAAGAGTTGAAGAGCATACATTGTTTACCAACAAAAGATCCACCATGGTCGCATCCATATGAAATGGAAAGTAAAACATGTGTGTATCTGTGGGGTTTTTTATGCACACAAACGACAAATTACAAGAAACAATAACTAAACAAGCGTATAGTCAACGAAGTCATCTATAACCCCAGCCCATTTTAACACGTTATGGTCCCAAACCAGGTAACTGACCCAACATTTCTCTTTGCCCATGTCAAAATAGCTGCAAAGGAAATTCTAAAATAAACATTTCTAAAACTTCTTAATATCAAATGGCACCTGTTCAGTAAGTACTTTATATATAGACATGCATGTTTGGCAAGGAAATATTTAACAGTTTAGTTGTTATACTCCATAAGTGAACCCACCCTATATGAAAACTTAAATCCAACTTGTCGCCATGGAAACGTAAGAAATAAAAAAATATAAAATTCCTAAATAGCAAAAGACACCAGTTCAGTATGTGCCTGGTAGACATGTCAAGTTTTGTAACAAGTAATTAACAGTGCTTGAGTTATGCTCCGGAAACGAACACCACCCTCATAGAACCTAAGTCCAACTTGTTGCCATGTAAACGTAAAAATTAAAATTTTCTAAAATTCCTTAATTACAAAAGGCACCAATTCAGCATGAGTCTGATAGACATGGAAAGTTTTGTTAGAAAGTTTTGAATCGGTTTTGAGTTATGCTCCGGAAACGAACACCACCCTCATGGAACCTAAGTCCAACTTATTACCATGGAAACGTCAAAAAATAAATAATTCTAAAATTCCTAAATAGCAAAAGGCACAACTTAAGTATGTGACTGATAGATATGCCAAGTTTCGATCAAATACACTGAATTGTTTTCGAGTTCTGCCCCGGAAAAGGAAATGATTACGAACGGACGGACGGACAGACAGATTGGCTGATCGCTATATCCCCCCGCATTATATGCCGGGGGGATAATAAACACAATAAGCCAGTTTACTTTCTGACAAGGCATTTTCACTCGCCATGAAACAATCGAAAATAAATTATTCAAGTTGGTTGTAATTTGAATCGAAAATCAGTCAACTCGGCCCAAAGTTAACTTTTTTTAAACATTGATTGTAATCATGTCTACTCCTCGCGCTCAAAAACAAAAGCAATTAACAAAAATTAAGACAATAACATATCTTGGAAACTGGCGTCAAAATCTAGTATACATTCTCTCACTTGATGTCAATTTTGCTCCAGTTTTGGCTAATGATTTACAATTACCCATCCAAATAGGGGGCCTTCAAGATGATGGTAAAGATATACCTGAAGCCAGATGCAAAACAGCAGCCCAGAAAAATGTACATCTTGATCTAATGTTGGGTCAAATATGCAACTTTTGCAATGTGATGAGCCGCAACACAATCATAAAGAATTCAACATCAGGGAGAGACATTTGGCAGAAAATCCGCCAAAATTATGGCTTCCAGTCAACCGGTGCTAATTTCCTTAACCTCTCTGACATTAAATTCATGCCTGAGGAAAGCCATGAGGACCTCACAGCCTTTTTTGAGGACAATCTTCTCACCAGCCAAGGGGGTATAACACATCACAGTCAATTGATCTACAATTGCCCAGTCTTGTAAAACAAAAGTATGGTGCTGGATTGCGTAACCAAACAATATCATCAATCAAGCCAGAAATATCTCAGCCTTTGCTCTCTCTCCTGGATGAACTGAAAAGCAATGAACACTCAAAGGTTCTGCTTTTTAGCTGCCTATTCTATTCCTCTTTTCAGAAGCAGAACTGTTCAAAGAACAAACCAGTTGTCAAAAGTTGCAACCTATGCAAGACAGCAGGTAGGCCATCCTACAATACCCACTGCCTGAAAACCTGCCGTTATCTTCCGGACACTGACAAACGCCCACTGTTTTTAGCAATTCAAGATTGGCCGATACTGAGGAAGAACCTGACTTGCAAGTGGCAATGAGATTGCAGCCATATCTGACACTGACCTTACTTTAAACCCATTACTTGATACACCAACCCCAAGCCGTTCAAGTTCATCAAACTTGTCTTGGAGGGCATATTTGTGTTATAGTGAGGAAACCTTCCCTTACGTTTTGGTGGGAGAGAAGGGGCCATGCAGACAACAGCCTCTAGCTTTCCACTTGCACCGTTGGACTTCGACACCTTTGGGTTGAAAACATCATCAAACTCCCGATGCAGGGTAGCAAACTTATCACATATGTCAGAAGATAGACACCCATCAAGATTGAGACACACAGCAGCAGAGTGTGGACCAGCAGCTTGATTGTGAGTCACAGCAGGACGTGGGGTGCCTTGTGGTGTTTCTGGACTTACAATCGGACGAATCTGACAAAGGTTTTCATTACGTTTGAGAACCAGAATCTACCTCTTGTACCTCTGGCCAAGCTTGTTCGGGTTTTCTGTCTCGATTACTAGGACAGTCAAATCTGGGCTCTAAGTCCCAACTGGTATCGGGATCTGCACACTCAGGTGTAAGGCGACCGATGAACTTGCCCGGGAGAATGGAAGTTTGAACTGGAGGACCTCTGAGAAGGTATGCCTGAGTGTGACGTATGGTAGCATGATGATTTGGTTGTGGACCATAAAGGATGACCTTTTGACCTCTGATGACGATTTGTCGCAGGACGGGTTGCGATGTCATTTGTGACATGGAAAAGATAACCAGCAAGTACATCGACGTCTAACTGTTTAAAAACGAGAGCATCAAGTGTGAATGTGTCATTTTCTCTTGTAAGGGTACAATGGACTTCCCCAATGATATCAAGGGGTGTTGTTCCATCAGCCTGGCGAGCTATCTGAGATACATGTGTTATTGGTAAGTGAATAGCTTGGGCAAATGACGCTTTTACCATGTTTGAAGTTGCTGCGGTATCAAGGGTTAACCTCACTGGATGTTGTTCATAAAAGGTATTGAGGAAAGGAGACTGAAGAACGTCAACACGGCTGGGGGTTAATGTATCAAGTAATAGTAATGGGTTTAAAGTAAAGTCACTGTCAGATATGGCTGCAATCTCATCGTCCACTTGCATGTCAGGTTCTTCCTCAGTATCGGCCAATCTTGAATTGCTAAAAACAGTGGGCGTTTGTCAGTGTCCGGAAGACACTGCAGGTTTTCAGGCAGTGGGATAGAATAGGCAGCTGAACGCAGAACCTTTGAGTCTTCATTGCTTTTCAGTTCATCCAGGAGAGAGAGCAAAGGCTGAGATATTTCTGGCTTGATTGATGATATTGTTTGGTTACGCAATCCAGCACCATACTTTTGTTTTACAAGACTGGGATATTGTGGATGGACCAAAGCACAACAATGGTATTTTCAAGTGTTGTGGTCAAATATTCATCTACATCTGGAACTTGACCGTGATGTGTTATACCGCCTTGGCTGGTGAGAAGATTGTCCTCCAAATTGCTGTGAGAGACGCTTGAAAAGGTTCTCATGGCGTTCCTCAGGCAGGAATTTAATGTCAGAGAGGTTAAGGAAATTTGCACCGGTTGGCTGGAAGCCATAATGTTGGCGGATTTTCTGCCAAATGTCTCTCCCTGATGTTGAATTCTTTATAATTGTGTTGCCAGCTCATCACATTGCAAAAGTTGCATATTTGACTCAACATTAGATCAAGATGTACATTTTTCTGGGCTGCTGTTTTGCATCTGGCTTCAGGTATATCTTTACCATCATCTTGTAGGCCCCCTATTCGGATGGGTAATTGTTTTCTTCTCCCATGAAAAATCATCAGCCAAAACTGGAGCAAAATTGACATCAAGTGAGAGAATGTATACTAGATTTTGACGCCAGTTTCCAAAATATGTTATTGTCTCATATTTGGTTAATTGCTATTGTTTTGGAGCGCCAGGAGTAGCCATGATTAGTCAATGGTTAAAAAAAAGTTGACTTTGGGCCGAGTTGATTGATTTTCACAGAACACTGGTAGCCGATTCAAATTACGACTGACTTGAATATTTATTTTCGATTGTTTCACGGCGAGTGAAAATGCCTTCTCAGAAAGTAAACTGGCTTATTGTGTTTATTCTTACTTGGAGGTATTTAGGTTTTCAATCCTGTGTGTCGAAGGCGTATTGGTAGGATTAACCGCTGCCACCACGCCAATAAATCACAAATCCGACTCTCCAAACTCAAACGAGTTTATTCAGATTAGATACAAAATACAAAACTAGGATTACAGCGTAAACGAAATGCTATTTACGCGAATCTATTATAAACGAAATGCGATTCAAATGCGATAAAAAAGAAGAGAAAATATACATAAACAAGTGGCGCAAATGTATCTAAAAGAGTTTCGAGACATGATTTAGGAAAATGCTTCAGGAGCTGATATCACAAACTTGCCCAAGGGCAGTATTTTGAGAAAATACTTCGTTATGATCTTCCCAATTATCAGAGTTAACTGAGGACGAGGACGAGGACGAGGACGATTTTTTAATCAATGTTTCCCCAAGTTTTGTTTTGATTATCTAATGTAACAGTTGGTTACTGACATGCATCAACCAAGTCAGCGAACAAGACCACCCGATCCCGTTTCTCGCCTCTTACGACAAGCAGGGGATGTAATTATATGGCTAATCAAATAATTGTTATTGCTATGGAATTTTCGTTTTTTTGGGTTTTTATTTTTTAACATATCCTGGCATTAAGAAGGGACTTGTTGATTGTTTGATTGTTAGGTTGTTTGAATGTCTGGTCCAGAATCGATTAAACACAGGCGACAAAGAAAACATGACATACACTTATTTATGACAACTGGTTTAGGCCTAGCTTTGATAACAAAACAACACTTTTTGTAAAGGTAATTTCCTATTTCAAACCGAAATGGCGGGCTTTGGGCGACATTATCAAACTCAAGGTAGCTTTGTGTATCCAGTGGTATTTGGATGGACATCTCTACATATGGACATGCATCGTCAGGTTGCAGTTGCAGCACTTCCAGTTGACACGTGTGTTGTTCAAAAGGGAATATATATGAATGTAATATTTCTTGTCCCTATTCCACTACGTACAGCTCGAGGTTCCGGGGTAGAATAAGTCTTCAGCAACCCATGCCTGCCGTAAAAGTTGACTATGCTTGTCGTAAAAGGCGACTAACGGGATCGGGTGGTCAGGCTCGCTAATTTGGTTATGCATATCAGCGATCCCAATTGCGTGGATCGATGCTCATGATAGTAATCACTGGATTGTCTGGTCCAGACTCGATTATTTTCAGACTGCCGTCATATAGCTGGAATATTAGTGAGTGCGGCGTTAAACAACAAACCAACCACCAACACCTGGAGCAGCGCTCTAGGCGTCAATGCAAGTTCACTTCAATTTTAGCAATGAACAACCATTTAACGCCTTTTAAAATTCGACTGCGATTTTACAAGACAAATATATGAATCAGGAACATAAATTATTCGAACACTTTGTTAAAAAGAGTGACTAGAATCATATTGAACATTCTTGCAAGGTTCACAGCTCCCGTTTGGTGATGCTGTGTAACGTGATAGTCACGTGTACGTAACTGGCTCCCATTTATGTTCCTTGATTCAAAGGTCTTTTTGACAGATGTAGCGGTTTGCGTTATTCTTCTTCCTGTCTCGCCACATAAATGCACTGCCAGTGTTGCTTGATTTGTGGATGATGATGAAATCCTGCTCAGGAATTCCATTAAGCGGGTAGCCTGGGCGCCAGGCAAAGTAGGTCATAGGTCGGCCGTCATGGTATACCCATTTCCCTTCTTCTGCCAGATCTGAACCATCAATGAAGAAGTTAATTTTTCTGTTTTCTGAAATTTTAACAAGGCACTTGAAATATCATTTTTGTCCATTGAAAAGTGAGAAGCAATTATTATTGATCAATGAATTTAAGTGTAGCTGGTAAAATCATAGATAATATGACTTAAATGGCATGTTATCAACTACAATGTAACAGTTAAGTGAGGATGGTTGGGTGCCTATGTGTTTGCTGTCTACCAAAATGCAGCATGGATTCTCAATATAGGTTATGAAACCCATTCTTGGTGTCCTCCCACCCAACCCCTCCCCTCTATGCTATCGTTCGAGTGTGGCCTAAAACAACATATTTTCACTGTATCGATCGCATTCTGACTCACAGCTGAATTTCAGTCATACTCTTAAACTATTGTGAGTGTACCAGAACTTTCATATTACTCGCCGCGAGAATAAAGTACATTGCCATGAGACTTACCAAGACACTTACTGCCCTGAATATAATCTGTTTCGACAGATAATCTGCAAAAACAGATTTGAGTGGACGTAAAAGGCCAAATCACTTTTCACAAAACTCAGTGATGACACCAGGAGTTCGCGTAAAGGTTAAACATGTCCGGTTCTACAGGTAATACTCACACCATTTGTATACAAATCAGTATTTGTTTTTTGAAAAACACCGAATAGCAATACTCCTGCCATGAATCCTTTGCTTTGATATTGTACTTTTCAGGTTACAAAGAAATTATTCTTTATACGACAAACACTGTGACGTGTTCATTCCTGATAAACCTCAAGGGACGTCATTCTATTGTACTCCAGTCTGGTTAAAATCTCAAAAACAGAAATGTTGTGATATCCCTGGTATTTTACATAATATACCAGGGATTTGATAAATTCAACTTCCGTTTACATTTGAACGCAATATAATGAAATATTAAATGAAATGCTAAATGTATTCTTTATATTCCCCGAGGTTCGAACATGCAACCTTCGTATCTGTAGCCCAATTAAGTACCATCAGACAACAGGCGCGCTGATAAATCACAATGCTTTTAAGAATGTCTTTTTCAAGTACCCCTATGTCAGCAACAGATATTTGACGCCCGTCTCCTAAGGTTCCCAGACCCGTGAAGATTCCGGGGTAGAATAGGTCTCCAGCAACCCATGCTTGCCGTAAGAGGCGACTAACGGGATCGGGTGGTCAGGCTCGCTGACTTGGTTGATGCATGTCATCGATCCCAATTGCGTGGATCGATGCTCATGATATTAATCACTGGATTGTCTGGTCCAGACTCGATTATTTACAGACCGCCGTCATAAAGCTGGAATATTGCTGAGTACGGCGTAAAACAACAAACCAACCAACAACCTAAGGTTCCTGGAAAATTTGGTTTGAACATAAAAACGTTGTAATTGTTGTTTTAGGTCCGATTTGCGGGTTCATAGTTTCCCTCGGGTTCTTATGGGATTTAAAACCCTCCCTCGGTTTTATCACTTAGCTACGAATTTTATATTTTGTAAAAAAAACTCTCTGACGTGTTTTACCCTACACATATAAAATGCGAGGGAGAAATTATATGTAATATAGAACAAATATGATGCCCATGATAATAAGGTTTTGTGATGTTGCGACGTCAGTGGAGGGTAATTCAGTCACCCAGAGTACTTATGACAGCAGGAATATGATGTTGAATGTGATTGATGGGTGGATATGAAGGCAGGAATACGAACCTGATGACGAGTTGACCTGCTTGACGACGTGGTTCTGCTTGTCCGCACTGTCAATTACAACAAAGTGTTCTCCTCTGGACGCACAGTCAGCAAGCGCCTTCTTATGGGGGGTACGGTCAGTATGAACCTGGTAGCAGAAGTTGAGGAGGCGGTTGTGGACGTAGCCAGATGGACATGCATCTGAAATAGACAAGGACAGTTATACAACGCTATGAATAGAAATGAACAAAAAGGACAGATATATCAGCACATTGTTATCTTTCGTTTTGTCGTCCCAAAGGCTATAAAATCTGATTTCTTTAAGAACTAAAGAATAACCAACGAACAACAATGAATTATGGATTTTCTGTCACGAGTGAAATAACATTGTTAATCCATTACAGCATTCATTCACGAAGGACAGATGATCTGTAATTACGAGTTTCCATGGTGTTTAGTAGAACATGGCCGAGGTGTTTAGTTGGAACGTGGCCTAGGTGTTTATTTGGAACGTGATCGAGGTGTTTAGTTGGAACATGACCGAGGTGTTTAGAAGGAACATGGCCGAGGTGTTTAGTTGAACATGACCGATGTGTTTATATTTGGTTGGAACATAGCCATTGTGTTTAGTTAGAACAAGACGAAGATGTTTAGTTGAACATGGCCGAGGTGTTTAGTTGGAATGTAACCGAGATGTTTAGTTGGAACGTGACCGCGGCGTTGTGTTGGAACATGGCCGAGATGTTTAGTTCGAACGTGGCCGAGGTGTTTATTTTGAAAGTGACCGAGGTGTTTATTAGGAATATGGCAGAGATGTTAAGTTGGAACGTGACCGAGGTGTTTAGTTGGAACATGACGTAGGTGTTTAGTTGAAGATGGCCGAGGTGTTGTGTTGGAACGTGACCGAGGTGTTTAGTTGGAACAAGACGTAGGTGTTTAGTTGAAGATGGCCGAGGTGTTTTGTTGGAACGTGACCGAGGCCTTTAGTTGGAAAGTGACTGAGGTGTTAAGTTCAAACAAGCTCGAGGTGCTTAGTTGGAACTTGATGTAGCCGAGTAGCTGCATTTGTATGCAGAAGGACATATTGTTGAAGTGGAGCTGAAAGATCATCTGTTACTTTAGTTAGCTTTCAGGAGAACTTACATATTCCTCCAAAAGTTGATAAGTTTTTATAACAAACGAACGTAGCCATAGCAACAAGCCACCCGGCAAGTGCACAGATGGTGAAACAGTTGTCAAGGATGATCGCTTCTGAGTATTCTAGAGATTGTCATGAATGTCTACACAGATGTTGAATTTTCCAAATTTCATAATTTAGGATGTTTTTAAGGGAGTTTGCTTGCAGACCTACTTTGATTCAGCAGAATTCAGTGTATTTTTATTGCTTTCATCAGAAAAATATATCTAGTTTGCCCCTTCCCCGAAGGTCACTGTGAATGAGTGTAGGATTTTGATGATGCTTTGGACGGTATTTTTGTTATATCAGGGAGTGCCATCTTAATGTTAGAAAAATATATATCTAATCAAAATAAAATGTGATCGATAACAAACTCAAATGATTTAAATCAAATATTAAAGAATATCACAAAAGTAATAAAACAAACCAATACAAGTTGGCGACATTGGTGAAGTCCAAGAGCATTTGTAAGAGTCTGTCAAACTTAGAATCATAATCATAATCAAACACATGTCCTGTAAAATGCATGTACGACGAAGCCTTATACATCTTCAAAACTACATGGATTTGTATCCACCACGTTCCCCCGTGAATACATACACCGCTATGCAGGTAATAGTTACGTGTGTCTATTTTCAGTCAGGAAATAAATAAAACAATTTAATGAGTCCTACTCCGTGCATGAACTGTGCAAACCGTATCGTTGATATTGAAGCAGTGTATCGTGTAAGTGAAACACGATTGTGGCTGAAATATTACTGGCGTAATTTGAAATCAAACGATTCAACTTACGTCAAAAACAAATCTAATTGTGACCAAGTCAGCGAGCCTGACCACCTGATCCCGTTAGTCGCTTCTCACCACAAGCATAGTCGCTTTTTTGCTTGAAGACCTATTCTATCCCGGAATCTTCACGGGTCGGGCCAAGAAGAGACCTTATAAAGCCCTTATCATACCTTACTCTGGAACAAGTGTAGTGAGTAGTGAGGTTCAACAAATGCGTTTCGTCTTTATTGATAATTTATGTTTTGACACTGCTCTCAAATTCAGTCGAGTGCACAATCGGGTAACTGGATTTTTTAGTCCATTGATCACTTAATTGTCTACTTTGCTTACAGGCCTCCTTCACACAGCGTGTCCTATATATTACAGTTTTTGTAACTTTGGTTAAGTAGTCACTTAGAGAGTTGGTATAAATCGATACGATCAATCCAACTGAACAGTTATCTATTCAAAAGTATCAGCATTTGATAAAACTTTTTAAAAAAACGTAACCATGGTATCGTTATAAATATACAATCTGTTAAATAAGCCCATTTATCCCCACTACTTTAAATTCACAAATGCATTAGAAACAAAGAGTTCGTGGTTACTACTAACTAAAGCTTTAAAATGTTACAGGTTTTGCTACTTTATTTAAGTGGTTACGTTTTTACACATACTAAGAGTTGATATAAATCAATCCAAACAATCTAACTGAACAGTTTTATCGATATCAACATATCAGCATTTAAACACTTCTTTAAAAACGAACCCACGGATCGTTGTCAATATGCATACTGTTATATGTGAGTCATGTCATCCTCATTAAGAGTGAGTGAGTGAGCGAATTTGGTTTTACGCCGCTTTTCGCAATATTCCAGCAATATCACGGCGGGGGACACCAAAAATGGGCTTCACGCATTGTACCCATGTCGGAATTCGAAACCGGGTCTTCGGCGTGACGAGCGAACGCTTTAACCATTAGGCTACCCGACCGCCCCATTCTCATTACGAAGCCACTGGGGCTGAGGGGCGGGGCCAAATACGGGTAATTTGGCTATATTTCTTAAAACGACTTCTTCTCTGGAACTAAGAGATAGATATCAACCATTCTCCGGTGGTGAAAATTCAAAATTGTACAAATGGAAGGGCTGAACCCTACCCCCAACCCCGGGGACTAAGGGGCGGGGCTGAAAAGAGTTCATAACTTGGACACAGTTAAAATCCCCACCGTATAACCATATGTACAACTGGGAGTACATGTATAATGAGAGGAATGCACATATGCTACCAGGACAGGCCTTTCTGTTCATCTGTCCGGCACTCCCAAAGGAGTTAGAACCTTGACCATAACATGCAAACTGATATTATCCCCATCCTATATTCAACAGATCCATTGCAATTGTATACATTTGTTTAATATGAAGAGAATAATACCTTTAATATGATTTATCCTTGATGATAACATGGAAACGGTTCAGATCTTTATGTTTCATTTGTATCTAGAGAAATACACGTTCATGCTGTCAGATTTGCCATACACCCATTTTTAATGCTGACAGAGTCAAAATTACGAAATACTTGCAGTATTATATACATGTACAATGCAAATGTATATTTTGTCATGATTGTGTAAATATCCAGGTGAGCGATACAGGCCCTATGGGCCTTTTGTTTTACTAGATAGCAGTGCCTAACTGTTTCAGGTGCCATTATTACAGTGCAGCCCCTAAATACGAAGAACGTGTAGGATAATCATATGTTAAATGTAAGTAGAGTAGTGGGTAATGCGAACAACATCACCGAGGTGTTATTACTTCTGTGAATATACTGTGGAATCCCGTGTCTGTCATGAAGCCTTGAGCATGCTTGACCATGAAGCCAACATGATCATGCTGTTATATAATAAAAAATAAAAAATTATAGTGAATATATAGTCATAAATATGTAAAGTGAGGAGATTGTCACTGTTAATATAATAACTTAATAACATATTGAGTATAGCAGTTTATAAAATCCATTTCAATTTTGCAACATTCACCGTATCTCAATCGGGTGGATCGATGCGCATGAGATCAATCACTGGATTGTCTGATCCAGAATCAATTATTTACAGCCGGCTGTCATATAGCTGGAACATTACTGAACAAATAAACAATTTTGCAACAGTTACCAAGATTGAGTGTAGATGGTGGCAAAACGACCATTGTAATCATTATCATCTGCACATCGATATTCGTTGAGGAAAAAAAGTTGTCTAAATCGACATGAGCTAATCTGAACCTCATTGTAGTACTACATATACTGCCAAAAAAGTTATTTTAGCTTCTGAAAAGATGATGTTCAAAACAAAAGAAATGTTTCTTCAATAGAAGCAAATATTTTGTTTCAGTTTATTTTATTTCTTGTCCTTGTCGTGAACAAATTCGTCTCAAATTATTGTTCTCCACATCTTCTTTGGCCTTTCCCAGAAGAACAGTATATTCTACGGTGTTTTCAAAGGCATGAACAAATCTGAATCTTAGTTAGTTGCTTCACATCATATCGTAGAAAGATGTGTGCACAGAATCACCAAATTGTGGAAGAGTAACAAAATGGGTACAGTTAAACCCCGCATTATTTCAGCAGGTACTTCCAAGTATAACCCCGCTCAAACAAAGATCCTCAGCTTTCAGACCCACTGAACGTTATTTTCTGAGACAAATGACTTCTATCTTTCGGTCTACCATCAAAACAGTCATTGTAAATTGAAACACGAAAACATCCAAAATGTGCGCAGGGCAATAACATCCACGTGCAAATTGTGAATCATGACCTTAAATACGAGGAGCTGTTTTCATGAATATTTAATTAATCAAGCATTATTTCATTTTAGAACTTTATATGGCATGGCATCCTGGGTAATGTAGGTGTGCAGACGTGTTTACATCGCTCCCGAGATGGGTATATGTTTAGAACAATATAGGGCGAAAATAGGAGCTTTTTCACATCCCAATAAGTCCAAAAACACAATGCATGGAATATCGATCAGGATAAAAATACATGTTTCGACGACTCTGTGACAAGTTATGATTGGTTGGTTTGTTGGTTTGTTGTTTTACGCCGCACTCAGCAATATTCCAGCTATATGACGGCAGTCTGTAAATCCAGTCTGGACCAGACAATCCAGTTATGACGTTGTTTACAATCCTGATTGGGTGTGAGTTAGTGAGTGAGTATGGTTTTACGCCGCTTTTAGCAATATTCCAGCAATATCATGGCAAGGGAACACCAGAAATTGGCTTCACACATTGTACCCATGTCGGGAATTGAACCCGGGTTTTTGGCTTGACGTGCGAACGCTTTAACCACTAGGCTACCTGACCACCCCTGATTGGGTGTGGTGTCGCGGAGTCAAATCCCGGCCCGAAGACGAGCAGGCAATCAACACTATCACAAGATGATACAAATACAGTGGGTATCACAAGTACAAAATATTCAAATGACGACATAATGCTTGCAATTTTGGATTTGAAAGGGGATATATAAACAGTGAAAGATAGGGTCTCCACTTTGGATACAAAGGTCGACAAAATGGCGACACTGGTCAGCGAGCAGATAGAAGAAATCACCCGACTCTGTTCTGAAAATAAGAGAATGGACGAACAACTAAGCGCAATGCGGGGTTATCTTGATGATTATGAATCCTGCTCAAGACAAAACAACCTTCTATTCAATGGTATTGAGGAAGACAAGGGGGGAACCTGGGATAAATCAGAACATAAAGTCGGAGAATTCATTAGAAACACACTTGACATTCCTGTAGAAGGCGATATTTTGATCACTAGGGCCCATTGACAACACAATGGGAAACAGAACCCCCCAATTCTTGTAAAGTTTGTTCTCACAAGTGACAAGAACATCATCCTTTATATTCAAAGTAAGTTCAAAGGCCAGGAAAGCCAACCACACAGGGTATAAGAGCACCTTACACAACGAGTGCAGGAAGTTTTTATTCAAAATATGACATTATTTGACTCGGTGAGAACATTTGCGAGACACCCGAAGGACTTTGATGACGTAGTGTCCGGTTTAAACACAACTGGTCTCCAGACGTAAGCAATATATTCATGATTAACTTTCAAGAAAAGTTCTCATCTTGTCGTGGTGCTATTAACAAGCAAATTGAGGCATATGTTGAACAAAGTTTAGATACTATTATCAAACTTTATCATAATGCAGCTGACCAGTTCAAGAGAGTACGTGAAAATAGCCAGTTATCGTCAACCTCAGTACAACCACCTTGGTCGGACCATGACTGGGAAGACATTAAGCAAATAAAATATGGGCTTATGGGAAGATTATTAGCACATATTTATGCTTTAAAAAGACGTTTGAAAACATATGAATATTTCCAAACAGAAAGAGTAAAACTCCACGAGTCAAGGAATGATCCAAACGCATATTGGAAAGTATTAAAATCTCGAAAAGTGAATTCACACAGTCACTCCAGGTATCAGTGGACAAATTGTATGACCACTTTGAAAGCCTTTTGAATCTTGATTGTATATATGATTACTCTCATGAGATATGGGATGATACAGTTATTAATGCAGACAATAATTACTAAATGGGTGAATTTAACAAACCTTTCACACAGGAAAACGTGTTTTCCAGTGTGAGAATATAAAAAAGTGGCAAATCATCCGGCCCAGATGGATTAGCAAGCGATTTTGTTAAATCAACAAGGATTTATATAGCCCCTGTATTAACCATGTTGTTTAATAAACTGTATAACGTTGGCATATTCCCTGAAAGGTGGGGAAGAAGCATTATTCCCCTATATAAAAATATGGTAGTAACCTTGACCCAAACAATTTTAGAGGAATCTCATTGATCAACTCCATGTGCATGATTAGTCATAAATAATAGACTGTGACATTGGTGTGATAATGACAATATAATGACAGAATCACAAGCTGGATTAGACAAAACTATTCCTCCACAGAACATATATTTACATTGCAAGCTATGATCAACAAATATTTATCAAAGAAAAATGGAAGGTTTTATTGTCTCTTTAATGACTTCTCCAAAGTTTTTGATGACATAAATCATGGAGTATTGTTTAAAAATCCCTTAAAGCTTGGTGTTAGAGGTAAATGTTGCAACCGTGTATTCATCACAGTGTGCTTTATGTGAGAACTGATTCTGGTTTATCACAATACTTGACATGTAGCATTGGCACCCGTCAGGGTTGTATCCTGAGTCCACAAATCTTCATAAACCAGCTTGCTGTAATGTTGGAGGAGGAAGGTGGGAGACACACGTCTGATGTGTTTTTATTATTATTTCCCGATGATGTCTGTATCTGACACTGTTTTACAGCTTCAAAAGAAAATTATGTTTTGGAACGTTTTTGTGGAGAAACTGGAACGAAAGTTAATCTCAACAAAACTAAAATTATGGTATTTATAAATGAAAAATGGCTTCTAAATGGAGAAGAAAAAGAAGTTGTCAACATAAGCAGATAATTATCTTGGTATTGTTTTTTCACCATAATTGTCATGGACAAAGGCTCAAAACGTGTTCAGCACAAGCGAGGAAAGCAGCATTCCCAATTAACAACTATCAGAAACATTTTGGATATCTTAGTCATAATGATTTTATTAACATATTTGATGCTTTGATCACACATATTCTGTGCTATGTATCTGAGATATGGGGAACCACTTACTGTAACATCATCGATAGTGTGCACACGACTTCCTGTAGATCATTTCTGAGAGTAAACAAGTACACTTATACCAATATGGTCTTCAGAGAGTGTGGCAGAGTGCAATATTATTGTATATCCAGAGCAGTTAAACACTGGAGCAGGCTGCTCCAGTTACCACAGCATAGATTTTCCCAACAAGCAGATAAAATGATTAAAACTTTCATCATATATGGTAAATTTCAAACAGAGACTTAGTTTTTAAACAGAGACTTAACGACGGCATCTTTCATTTTCTGACTGCTTCTTTTAAATTTGGCATCACTCACTCGACGTTTCATCTCAATGTAATTATTATTCTCAATTTATATCTTTTTATTCTTTACTTAATGTAGAAGCCTATTTAACTTGTGATCCTCTGCCATGCCAGAGGCTCTAATTATGTCGAGGATGAATTACATGTATTGTTGATATGTGACAGCTATTCCAAACCGAGAAGCGAATCTTTTGCTAACCATCTCATAAATCCACCAATAACTGACACCTGTGTAAGACATGTCAACCTACATTATCTATAAGTAAGTATATGATTTATGGATGAACAACTTCTTTGTTCATCAATAAATCTAATCCATACTTAGTACTATAACTTGTTTGATTAAATTCCTGTGTCAAGTACTAAAGATAAGAAGCAAATCATCTTTTCCTGTAACATAAATTGTACTTTCTCCAGTCGTTTACTCAGCATGTACGTTTATTTATTTTATCCTAAATTACAAAATATAGTCTGTCTGTCGGTGTTTCTGTCTGTCAGAACATTATATGAAACATAATTACATTTTTCCGTTGTATATGATCGACAATGATAAATTGAGGATAGGCCACATAAATCATATTAAAATAATAATAGAAAATATCTCTGAGACACCTTCTTAGCCTCCTGTGAATAATGATGTCATCCCTCACCTGTTGTGAAGCTGTAGTATTTGGTACCTATCTCTTCTTCTCCGTCCTCAGGCGACATGAACAGCACGTCATGAAACTGACACCGCCGGTGTTGCCCTCTAAAGAACACAGACACAAAAGCTTTGTTCTGAAGGCACAGAAATACACACCATATACCCCTGTAAATATTTGAAACTTCAGACATAATGTGTGATGACATTATCACATTGTCAAATTTTGTCCATTTAACTCCAGATCCCGTCTTCAGCATAGCAGTAACATCGCTCACTAAACAAAGGTAAATTAGCTTCATAATCATTGCTTCTGTCTCAACTGGTCGCTCGACGCTGGATTATATTTGGTGACTGTTCAGTTGGTAATGCAAAATCGACTGCATCAATTGTTGATTTGTTACCATGCGTCCGCCTTCAAAGTGGTCCAATAGCAACTAACATATGACCGAGTTATGTCACGATATGCTTTGTAAAAAACTTCAAGCACTTGTTATGTTGGGTAAACCTACACGTACTTGTCCATAGGTGCATGTTGATGTTGTTTAATGCAATGTCCAAGTTTTATCATGGCGGAATACATTTTGCGAGAAAAGTAATCCTGCCGTGATTGGGCTTAATGACTGGTGCCAGGATTGGAACTCTGATGAGACAGGATCACAAGGATAATGTGGGGCCTAAGGAGTGCAATGCCACATTCATGGATTGTAGCCAGTGCAATGACTGAGTTGTTGACTGGAGGATTTCCGTGATGGAAGAGCAAACCTTTTCTCAGCTGATACTTTCATTGCCAAAGTTTTAGGGGTGTCACACGATACGATACATATCTCGATACAGATGCCACAATACGATACATAATCTCGATACAGATACCACAATACAATACATATCCCGATACATTATACGATACACATCTCGATACAGATGCCACAATACGATACATATCTCGATACAGATACCACGATATGATACATATCTCGATACAGATGCCACAATACAATACATATCTCGATACAGATGCCACGATACGATACATATCTCGATAGAGATGCCACGATATGATACATATTTTGTTACAGATACCACGATACGATACATTATCTCGATTCAGATGCCACAATACGATATATATCTTGATACTGGTTTTGTGCAGAAACCCCAGTCATTAGACTGAGAATAGTTCATAGACTCGCTCATAAAGGTGAAGAAGGACATCTGACAACTGACTAATACCCATCAACATGATACATTAGTCAAGTCAACTATTTTGTAAGAGAAAATAATTAAAAAAAAGTTTTCGTACTGTATTAGTACAGACAGCAAGGAAAAGGTTTTCTGTCTTGTATAAGAAAGACGACCAATAAGGTTATGAGGATTAAAAAAATAGTTTGTACTTGCTTTTTGATATCGATTCGAGATCAACATTGACAATCGAGATGGGGTTAAATGTGAATCAATCCAAATGAGTTGTGTATCAGGTATCTTATCATGCAAAGTTTGCTGACGATTCACCGGTGTGCGGGTGAATCGCGATATCACTACAAAGTTAAGGTGATAGTGAAATCTACCCTCTTCTTGGAAATGTCTACCGAACAAGCAATAAGACGCTCAGTCACCGAAGTGAGACGGTCATCTCCATATCGTTGATTCTCTGGATCATTTCTAGTGTTGCTGACATGACAAGCCTTCCTGGATAGTGGCCATGGTTTAACTTTTGGTGTCATACGAAGAGGCGTCGTTCCGTAGTTTTGTACCATTATAGATGATATATGGTATTACGCCCTTTAAGTCCATTTTAAAAGATCACAGGCACCTACATATTTTACTGACGTTTGACTCAAATGTTTGTGGATATACATTTATGTCTCTTTGTGATGGACAAACAAAAAAATCACTAATCAAATATTACGCAATTCACTTTATATGATGTATCAGTCAAACCTAGTATTCCCTCCCTGGCCCATCATACAGATACAAATTGCCTCTTATCTGCTTAAACAGTGACAGGACCACCTGAAACACCGCGTCACCACCATGACCACGAAGATACACAATGCTATTACTGCTTACCAATTTCTTGCAAAATGCGAAAATACATATAGTTGTAAGGTGCACCATTGCCGGAACTACAAGATTACACAGGACTTTGTGTATTCTGTGTAATGCAGACATGTTTCCACATAACCTATTCATACGTTACAACGACTCTTTTTGTTTTGTTGTGATGGTGAACTGGCAATCATAATACTATTTGTATGCCTTAAACCTTGTTTTATATAGCTTTGTGCTGATGTCCCAATACATTCCCGAACCAAATATCCATTTCACTTTATATGCACCAGCAAAGTGCATGCGTCGTGATCAAACGACAAACGCCACACATCATTAATTTTCAACGACACTTGCCTTCAAATACGAGTACTTGTATATCAGATCGTTCAACCATATATTTACTTAATCGTGTTGGAAACGAGACCAGTCATGAGCGTAAATCTCACCAAGACTTTGTACCCACTCCATGATTCCAACTCGACAAGCACACAGAAATGTGCCTGGTGGCTAACACATGCCTTGGTTAAGAAATATAGCCGCGTCTAGGTATCAGTATAATTATGATGATGCAAAATATTCGCAAGCTCTGAGGTTCACACAGTTTTACCAGCGCTTTTAAATGGTTCACACTTCAATGAACCCATCCAAGCTGACGTTCACTTCTTATAATTTCATACTTTGTAGTTTACTGGTGTCGCTGAAAAATATCGTAACAATGTTTGCTAAAGGTTTGAAGTCCTCTGATTTCGCCAAGGAACATTGCAACAATGTTATTTTGTCGGGATTCCCTGAACAAATTGACAAACAATATTTGGGATATATCAAATCTTAAAAATAGGTAACAGGAAAAGTGAGCCTGATCTTAAAGTCTTTGAGGTTGGTGGCGAGGGTTGTGACACTCTCCCACTGAATGCTGTGGCGCTGGTTGTCACGGATGTGGTCTGATAGAGCTGATTTAGAGTCATCTTTGGAGACTGAGCTTTGATGTTCTTTTATTCTGGTTTTGAGGGGCCTAGATGTTTCTCCTATGTAAGCTTGTCAACAATTGCATGGAATGTGGTACGCTGCTCCTGGTGGTTCTAGCTTGTAGCTGGATGGTGGTTTCCCTGTGGCTTTAATTGTGTTCTGAATGGTATGACTTTTCTTGAAAACTACATCAATGTTGGCCTGTTTCTTTAAGAGTCTCTGGATTTTGTGGCTAACTGTTCCACAGTAGGGGAGGCTGATCACAGTGCAGACTGTTGACGTGGGGATTTCTGAGATTTCTTGGTGATGTTCTTTATCGTCTGTTGTACTAGTTGCTCAGGATAGAGGTTATACTGTGTAAATACTTGTTTGAGGTGGCTTAGTTCAGTAGTTAGATGTTGCTTCGGTGAACAGATGTTGTGAGCTCGTCTTGCTGGGGTTGAAACAATTCCTTTCTTGACTTGAGGTGGATGGTTGGAGGCATAGTGTATGTATTGATCTGTAGGTCTCCGATAAACAGTCTCCAGTGACCAGTCCGTAAAACAGGTTGGCAAGTTGTTGTTTTTTGTTTTTTTAATGTAAATTTCGTTCCTTAGGCCTACCTTTTTATATTTTACGGTTTCTCAAAATCTTGGATTTTTTCCCGATACAATAGAGTGAACCAGGTTTTAGTTTGGGATTGATTAGGAGCAGTCGCAGCCACATCTGACAAGGTACAACATCGTTCGCATTTTGACTTGGTGCTCGATTCCTGTCATTTCCGAAAAAAAGGCATCAAAGTCAATATCGCTCAAAAAATCAAGTTCGTTGACCACAGTAATTTTACATCATTTTCTTTACTTGCGTTATTGGTATTGATAGCTAGCCATTCCATATCCAAATCACCGTCAGGACAATCCATTTTGTTTCATTGAGCAGCGAGAGGACATTAAACACCAGAACCAAAGCATTTATTTATTTTTAGTCAGATGAAATGTTACAATACCAGGCAAAAATACTAAATAAATTATATTGCTGATAAATGCAGGGCTTCAAATGAAAATAGAAAAACGAGTTGATTGTACACCGACCGAGAATTCGGAGGAAACCCCGGACAGTAGTTCCGGCAAAAGCTCACACGGTCAATTTCACAAAAGAAATTGTTCACATCGTGTGTACTTTTCTGTCCGTTCATAGTTGTGTGAACTCCAAATATCAGATCACGTGACTACCCCTTCAGCCAATCAGCATGAAAGAAACAGTGTAAACTTTATAGTATGAAAATATGGGCAGATAAATCGAAAGAGTCCCTTCATGTTGGATTAGACTGTAGTCTTCCTAAGTTATGACCTGTATGCACGGTGGAAAGTGAAGGTGAAGCTTCGTCACGCAGAAGATCCGGGTTCGATTCCCGACATGGGTACAATGAGTGAAGCCAATTTCTGGTGTCCCCCGCTGTGATATTGCTAAAAGCGGCGTAAAACCATACTCCAACCAAGCTGGTTACTACAATCATCTATATGAATGTGTGTGCGTGTGCGTGCGTGCGTGCGTGCTTGTGTGAACACCTTTACAAATCACAGACTAAAAAACACTACATAGCAATAAGTGTGATCCACTCATCCTACGAAGATGCTATAAATCTTCTCTCCAGCTTCACTGTCAACCTCTTGACCTGACGCTAGTTGAAATGCCGAGGTAACGCAACCCTTAATTGTAACGCGTAGGATAACCACAATCTGGTTTGAATATTGTGGCCAGTCTACAAGTTCCAAAATACAGTGTTGAAATATACATACCAGTGGTTCCTATTTTGTTATTGATGTAGTCAATCATGGAACGTTCCACTTCGAGGAAGTGGATATAACTGTTTTATTAAGGTACTAAGAAGCTCTGAACGTTCTGCTTTAAGGGTGTGCTAAACGGGCATGTTTAGTGTTATTTGTTTGTTGTTTAGCGCCGCAAAAAGCAAAATATTCCTGTGTGTAAATAATCGAATCGTGACCAGACAATCCAGTGATCATGAGCATCTATCTACGCAATTGGGTTGTTGGTTGGTTTGTTGTTTAACGCCGCACTCCGCAATATTCCAGCTATATGACGGCGGTCTGTAAATAATCGAGTCTGGACCAGACAATCCAGTGATTGATATCATGAGCATCGATCCTAGCAAGTGGGATCGATGACATGCATCAACCAAGTCAGCGAGTCTGACCACCCGATCCCGTTAGTCGCCTTTTACGACAAGCATAGTCGCCATTTACGGCAAGCATGGGTTGCTGAAGACCTATTCTACCCCGGATCTTCACGGGTCCAATTGGGATACGACGACATACATCAACTAAGTTAGCGAGCCTCACCACCCGATCCCGTTAGTCGCCTCTTACGACATGCAAGGACATCGTACCGAGGCAAGGGAGTTAACTGACAATAAAAGACCAGTTTCCACTGGATGCACGTGGGTTG